CCATCTTTGGCATAGAGCGTCCCCTGATACCCCCCCCCAATTGTCAGTGCCCTCCTTACCAAGCTACCTTGTATTTGACTACTCTGTATATACATATTGTTATTAACTGTATATTTCTGCTGTATATATTTTTATATGTACTTTGTGGCATTTAAAAAGGTTCAAGAGATAATATCTGGCTAATTTAGCTATTTTATTAATAATGCCAGCATATTTATTAATAAAAAGATGGTCACTTGTCCATCTCTCTTAGACCAAAGACCCCTCATGGCAATGGAATCAGAAAAGTAGATGTTCCTAACAGCGGCAATCAACTCTGATTGGTGAACAATTAATGAGGGAATACATATTATAATGAGAGGCTGAGCTATATTACAATGAGGGTCTTGGGGTATGTAACTTGGGTCATCCAAATCTTGGTCAAAAAGAGTTATCAATTTCCATATCACCTGTCTGATAAAAGAGGATCCACATTTTCCCCGACCGGTCAGAGCAAACACAATGAGCAGGAATGCACCCATTAGCCCAAACTTAGAATTTCTTTTACTGTCTTTGGTTAGATCTCAGCCATCCTAGCTGGGTAAATCTATGACAAAGATTTCCCATACTGGTTGACTTCTGGATGATGAAATAGAAAAGGGGAAAAACCTTGTTTCTGATTCAATAATTAGTTATTGATACATGTGAGAAAGAATCATTTTTCACACTTGTTTCTCTCATTACAATGTAAACTCCTTATGAGTAGGAACCACTTCATTCATTATACAGTACTGGTAACTCAAGTGCCAGGCACTTAGGCACTTGATAAGCATGTAATTGATTAATTGATCACCTTCTCTGCTGTCTGAAAAAAAGTCTTCATGTCCAAGTCTACTCATCCTTAAAATAAAAACAAAAACCTTCATTTAGCCCTACCATTCCCTCAAGTTATTATCTTATTTCTCTTCTCCCTTTCATAGCCAAACTCCTAGAAAATAAGAACGATAGCTAGCATTTATATAGTCTTTACATTTGCAAAGTGCTTTACATACATTATCTCATTAAAAGCCTCAGGCACTCATTTCATTACTTCCATTTCCTTTCATCTCATTAATTTCCTCTGTAAAATGGCTTCAAACATTGGTATTCAATTAAAACCACTCTCTCCAAAATGATCACTGATTTCTTAATCACCACACTGAAATGATCTTCTCAGTCCTCATTCTTCTCTACTCCCCTGAAGCATTTGACACTGTTGATTATTGTGATTTGGCCACTCTCTCCCCTATGGGTTTTCATGACTTTGCTCTCTTGTTCTTCCTCTACCTGTCCAGCGGTTCCTTCCCCATCTTCTTTGCTTAATGATTGCCCATGTCCCACCCCTTAATTGTGCCTGTAGACTGGGGCTCTGTCCAAGGTGGTCATTTCTTCTCTTTCTATATTCTTACTGATCTTGTCAGTTCCAATGGGTTTGTCATCTCAAAGTGGATGATTGCCAGATTTATTAATAACAATTGGCTCTAGCCTCACTCTTCCAGGGTTTTACTGGCTACATCTCCCCTTCAGGGTTCTTGAGATACTCCTGAGAGGTTGAGGAGTCTTTCTCTAATACTATTGACTTAAGTTCCTATTCTGATATCTCCCCCCCACACTGTTAACCACCAATGACTAGCACTCCAGCTCCATTTAATCAATTAACACTGATTAGCTTTTGTGAAGAGATATTTACTTAGAAGACATAGCAATAACAGAAGTACAACTCAGTCTCTAGAAAGAGTAGGTTCAGACTTAACAACTTTTATGTAGCACTGGTCCCTTCTTCCTCCCTCCCCCTCAAAAGAAAGGTTTAGGTTCAAATGTAGGCATTAATGCTAGGTCAGTCCCTGTCTTAACTGTTGATGAGCTGTGTTCCAAAGGCTATTTCTTGCTCCTCAGAGCATTAATGCTGAAGTGGCTGCAAAACCCAGCCTGAGATTTACTCCCAGACCTCTCTCTCCTGTCTCCTTCACCTAAAACAAAAGAACAAATTCTGAGGTCCATCTGTCCGCCTCAGATGGGGAGGTGACCTCTCACCCCTTCCAGTATTGACTTTTTTTCTCTCACCAGAGCATTGCCAGGCTGAAATTAAATCAGAGCAAGAGAAGAAAGAGATTCTGGTCCATTAGTCCCTTTTGAATGTCCCCCAAATTCCAGCTAGGAAGCTACACCTTTTCACCATATAGTTAGCAGACTGGAACCAGTTACAAACTGTCCACACACATTCGGAAGTCCACATGGGAACTACATCAACCAAGCATTCTGTGCACGCTCATAAGGACAGGCCTCATTGGCCAGTGCGCTATTATATATATAGCCAGCCCTATTCTCTCCCCTGAAATCCAATCTCACATACACAGCTACCCATTGGACCTTGCCAACTGGGTGTTTCATAGACATCTCAACTTAGCGTGTCTAAACAGAACTCATTATCTTTCCCTTAATTATACTTCCCTGTTTTGTTTGAGGACACCACCACCCTCACTCTCCCTGCCACTCAGGTTTGCAAACATGCATACATCTTCAACTCTTCACACTCATTCACCTCCCATAGCCAATTAGTTGCCAAATCTTATTGTTTAGTTGTGCCCCCTCCTCTTAACTCATACAACCACAAATGTAGGGTAGGAGGGACTAGTACAATCCCTCATCAATCTCACCTGGACTATTGCAATCACTTTCTAACTTTCTTTCCTGCTCCAGTCTCTTCACCCTCTGATCCATCCTCTATACACCTGCCAAAGGGTCATTCCTAAAACACAGCTCTGACCATGTCATCTCCCAGCTCAAAAAGTTCCTATGAGTCCCTGTTACTTCTCAGATAAATTCTTCCACTTGGTATATAAAGCCCTTCACACTCTAATGCCAACCTACCTTTCCTAGTTTATTACACATTATTCCCCTCTGAACACTACATTCTAGCCAAACTGGTATGCTCACTGTTCCTCCTACACAGCATTCCATCTTTCATCCGTGGGCCTTGGTAGACATTGTCTGCCATGCCAAGAATACACTCCCTCCTCAGAGCAGGACACTGGAAAGGGCTCTACAGTCAAAGGACCTAGGGGTAGTTTTCCCCTCTGATTTTGTTGTTGTTCAATTGTCAACATTATATCTAACTCTTTGTGACCCCTTTTTTGGGGGGTGGATTTTGGCCAAGATACTGGAGTGGTTTATCATTTCCTTCCCCAGCTAATTTTACAGATGAGGAAACTGAGGCAAGGGTAGCTAGGTGGTACAGTGGAGAGAGTGCCAGGCCTAGAGTCAGGAAGACTCTTCTTTCTGGATTCAGATCTGGCCTCAGACATTTACTAGCTATGTGACCCTGGGCAAGTCACTTAATCTTGTTTGCCTCAGTTTCCTTATCTGTCAAGTGAGCTGAAGAAGGAAATGGCAAACCACTCCAGTATCTCGGCCACACAACCCCAAAGTAGATGTTCATCATTTGGGGAATGGCTAAACCAATGGTGGTACATGAATGTGATGTAATATTACTGTGCTATATAAGAAATGACAAATATGATGAATACAGAGAAGGCTGAGTAGATCGACACAATCTGGTTCAGAGTGAAGAAAATAATATCCACAATGCCTACAGCAATGGAAATGGAAAGAAGAAGCCCTAAACCATCAAAAGTGGATGCTGCAAAATGGCAAAGGACACACGAGAGGGAAGCCATCTCCACCCTCACTCCTTTGCAGAGCCGGAAGCTCCATAGTTTGGGATGTTGTACGTTTTTTCAGACTTTTTCAGTGTATTGATCAGTTTTGCTACTTTCCCTTTTTCTTTAAAAAAATATTATTTGTTATGCAGGATAACTTTCTATGAGAGGCAAGGGAGAGAATTATTGGAGAAATTTCATTTAAAAAAACTGAAGCTATCAATAAAAGTTTATTTTTTAAAAAAAGAATCCCTACTTTCCTTCAGTCTCTCAGTTGAAGTGATTCCTTCTCCAAGAGGTCCTGTTTTCTCAGTCGCTAGCATCTCCCTCTGTTAGTCTGCATATGTTTTCTGTTTACTGTTTCTCTATAAAAGACTATCAGCTCTCTGAGAGCAAGGACTGCTTCGTTTTTGTCTCTGTGCCCCTCCTGACCAGCACAGTGCCTGGTACATAGTAGACCTTTGATGAATGCTTGTTGTTGCTGAACAGTTCTGTAAGGTGAGGAGTCTGTCCACTCCTGCTCTGACTGCGCCCCAGCTTGATTTACTGGCCTGGTGTTTGTAACCTAGTGGAATTTGACCCCAAGACATATCTCCTTGCCCATAATTTTTCCCATTACCTGATCCTCACAGCCTGCTTCCACCAACCATTAGGCCACACTACCAGAAGTAGCCCATCCACAGTCAGGGCAGGATCAGCTTCCTTCCAATATGGCAACCCCATTCTCAGCTCCCCCTACAACATGAACATGGTTGATAGAACTATGTCTTCCAGGAATAAGGACGCAACATTCTGTCTGTCTTCTTCCCTGGTCATGGCACATCTTGCGAATTGTGATGGGTTCTAGGTATCACATCTTATTTGAGGGAGGACACTTCAGAGAAGGGTAAAGTAGTAGTCAGAAGACTGGAAACCATACCCTAAAAGGAAGAGTTGAAGACATTATGATAATCTAACCCAGAAAAGAAAAGGTTTGGGGGTGGGGAGAGGGGACTGATGACTGTCCTCAAATATTCAAAGGACTTTCATGTGGTCAAAGGATTAGATTTGTTCTGACACTGGACCAAAATTGTAGAGAAGCAGATATTTAGGCTCAATATTAGGGCAAAACTTCCTACAAATGAGAGCTGTCCAAAAGCCATGTGGGCTTTGATGGGGCATAGTCAATTTCCCCATCAGAGATCATCAAACAAAAGCTGGGTGACAATTATCAGAAATTTCATAGAGAGTCTAGATTTTTCTTCAGGTTAGCCTAAGTGACCTCAAGGGTACTTGATTCCCTGATTGTATGATGATTAAAATCCTTGTGCATTTCTTTAATAGTTCAAAAGGAAATACAGAAAGATCCTTTGCTAAAGACTCTTGCCACTGGAAAGTCATATGACTATCTAATGTGAGTATCTTTAGGAATATTATACTTTTTTTTTCTATGTGAGTTCAAGTTCCCATTATGGGATGCAAAAGTCCATTAGAAGATTTACTAGATTGTAAGAAATAGGCCAAGTTTCAGATTGCTAAATATTTCATTTGGCAAGCTTTTCTTGGATTCCAGTCAATTAAATATTTAAGCACTTGGTACTGTAGCATCAAGGCATGATGCCCCATTATAGCAACAGAAATTAGACACAGTCCCTACCCTCCAGGGGTGTATGCACTAACAGAAGAAATTAAAAAGATAAAATGGTCTCACACACACACACACTGGGAGATATCATTCTAGTTAGGAAAATTCCCAGTACACATGGAGAAAAGCTAGAGAACAGTAGCAGAGACGCATACCTTCTAAGGTCCTCTCAGTTCTGACATTCTGTGTTGTAAGGTGCCTCCAGGCTCTGACATTCCATGCTCTAAAGTCCACCCCAGCTCTGACACTACATGTTCTAAACTGGCTGTAAATGCTATGACCCTATTTTGAGGGAGCCTACAGTAAAGGAAGAGATAGTGTGGGATGAGATTGATCAGAAGGTTAAAAAATAAAATAAGGCCCCTTGACATTGGCCAGTCTTCATGCATGCTTGGCTTTAGCACCAAATTCCAGTCACTGCATAGACAGATCAATCTTTGGCTTTCAGAGATGCCAGTCTCTTCAGTCTATATCAGTTTTCGTATTTGCCTGCCTCAGAGCCCAGCTTTTCATTTTGAAGAATGTGTAAAATCATTTCTCAATCAGAACCACCCCACTGCAGATAATCAGTCCAAATCAGCAGAGCTCAATGGCAGAGTTCTCCTCCCCCACTCCGTACTGCTGCTACACAACCAGCCTCAGCCCCAAGTTTACTGAAGTTTGAAGAACTGGGATCGACTGGTATGAATTGAGGCCCTCACCTCTCTGGGCCTCAGTTTCCCCTGTTATAAAATGGTGAGATTGTAGTAGATAATCTGTAAGACCTCATCTAAATCTGACATTCCATGTCCTAAGATACCTCCCAGCTCTGGCGTCCTAGGTTCTATGACCATTCCATTTCTAAAAATTGCTCCCAGATCTAATATTTCATATTTCAAGGTTCCTTCCAGCTCTGACAGTCTATGTTCCAAGTGGCGACTTAGCTCTGATGTTCTATGTTCTAGCTCCCTTCTAAGCTTTAACATTTTGTGTTCTAAGTTCCCTTCCAGCACTGACATTCTCTGTTCCATGAGTCCTTTCATTCCATGAAGATTTTGCTTTTTGCCCTCTGATCCAATGATTACCAATGTTTTCCCGGTATGGTACCCTTTAACTCGCACTATTTAGTAACACACACACACACACACACACCCTAGGAAGACTTCATCAAGCCTTTGAAAAGTCAAACAGAGTTCTCATTGTAGTTTCCCAGACCTTGCCTTGAGACAGATCCTTTTTATAGGAAGCCACATGGGACTGGATCTGATCTAACCCTGTTTTGCTGATTTCAGGGAAGAATTCATGGTTGCTCAGAAGCAGCTTATCTCCCAGCACGAGCTCATCCTCGCCCTGAAAACAGACCTTTCCAAAAACCAACCTAAGACATCTGCATTAAAAGGTACGTCCACACACTCCATCATTCAACTGAAGAGCCCAAGATGCCATAAGGAAAAGAAAGACAAAGTAGCATTCTTTGTATGTGAAAATTCTGAGGCTGCAAGTCATTGGTGAAATGCTTTCTTTTCTTCATTTATATGACTTTTGCTGAGGATTTAACATACACAGTCTTGTGTGTAGAATTTTCTGACTCTGAGATTGAGAGATCTAAGGGAAAATCCTACACAGTGAATGTTTCCCCTATATCAACACCCATACTACAGATGTTTGCTGGTACTACTGGAAGAAATGTCTCATTAGAGATAATTGATGATACTTTGTTTCCCCAATCTGGCCCTCAGTCTCCTTTTTTTTTTCTTCTTGGTGAGGCAGTTGGGGTTATGTGACTTGCCCAGGGTCACACAGCTAGTAAGTATCAAGTGTCTGAGGTCAGATTTGAACTCAGGTCCTCCTGACTCCAAGGCTGGAGCTCTAGTCACTGCGCCACCTAGCTGCCCCACAGTTTCCTCATATATAAAATGTAAGAGTTGATTCCTTTGAGACCTATGTTCCAAGGTCCCTTCCAGGCCTGATGTTTTGTATTTTCACTTTTCGTTCTAACAGTCTGTGTTCCAGGGGCCCTCCCGGCTCTGATGGTCTGTATTCTAAGAATGCTGTCCACTCTGACAGTCTCTGTTCTCAGATCCCTCCCAGTTTTGACATTCTCTGTTCTAAGGCACCTTCCAGTTATAACATTCTATGTTCTAAGGTTCCTTCTTACCAGCTCTGACATTCTGTGTTCTTTCAACCCTGTCAAAGCTAGGAGGCCCATGAGTAGGAGTGAGGAGGCCTGGTCAGGTTTAAGGGGCAAACTGTCATTTTTGATGCAAGGGGTGGTGCCCAGCCATTTTGATTTTTTTCCCCCATCTTCAAATTTTGGGGTTTCAAACATTCTCTGAGCTTTGGTTTCCTGAGTCAGGATCTATACCTGCAGAAAATCCGCCAAATCATTTCTGGCTGGACTCAACCAATATGAGTGAATTTTCCCTTTGTCTGTATGAAAGAAAACCAAATTTTCCAGATACTTAATAAGTCACTTAACCCTCCTGGGCCTCAGTTTCCACATCTGTAAAAAAGAGAAAGTTGGACTAGATAACTTCTGAGCTCCCTTCCAGCTCTAGATATGGGGTTCTACAATTCCCTGAATAACTTTTTGGATGTTTCTCTGCCATTCTGTTATTGTGGGCTGGGTAGATTTCCCCCCACCATTCATCCACCAGCTCTCAGGTGTGGGTCTTCTTGTCCCTCTCAGCTGAGCCTGATGAACAGCTAAAAGCAGAGATGGGGCAGAATCTCCCAGTTGAGCAACAGGAGCACGAGTTGAGCAAGTTGAAGGAGAGGCTGATTCAGATGTCCAACCTGGTGGAGAAGAAGAACAAAAAGATTGAAAGCTTGAAAGCTTATCTAAGGTACATGCCCATAGCTGAAGGTACCATGGAGTCCTGGGAACTCTAAGGAATGTCCCTTCTGGGTTCACCAACCCACACCTGAGGGCATGGGGCAAGGGGTAGTTGGGAAGGGGTCTCCTGCACAGCACCTGCTGTGGGCCAGGATCACAAAGATCAAAACAAAAATGATTCCTGCCCTCGAGCAGCTTCCATTCTCCTGAACATAAGGCACCTTCAGTTTTGGGTGGAAATACAGCTCTTTGTCGACTCTTATCTGGGTCCGCAGGGTGTGGCATCCACCAAAGGGGTCTGTGATCCCCTAAACTTGGTTCAGTTGCTCCATATTAAAAAGCCCTTCCCATTCTCTCTGGCTGCAGAAACCCCATCTCTGCAGAAACCAGAAAGATCTGCACCATGTGTGATGTGGAGATACAAGTGGACGTTACTGAAAATGACCTGCACATCTTTAACCAAGAGGTAAGTAGCCCCACTGCATGGCCTATTGCTGGTACACAGAAAGTAGGTGCTTGCTTGGTGATTTCTGTCACTCTCCATTCTATCTAATTCACCAGATATTCACAGAGCATCTACTAGGCATAAGAAGCTCCCATGTTCTTCCTGATCCTCCAAGTCTAGGGCTGCTTACCCCTTTCTCTGTCACTGACCCCTTAGGCAGTCTAGAAAAGCCTATAAAACCCTGCTTAGAAGCAGGTTTTAAATGCATAAAATAGGGGCAGCCAGGTGGCATAGTAGATAGAGTGTTGGCCCTGGAGTCAGGAGAACTTGACTTCAAATCCGGCCTCAGACACACAACACTTACTAGCAAGAGAGGACAGAAGGAGAGCAGAAGTAGGTGATTAGTATAGTTGCCTAGAGCACAGAAAACATGAAAGCAGGCTTGTAGAGTGGTCAGAAAGCTGGCCCTAAAGACAGGAAGATCTGGGTTCTAGTCCAGCCTCTGACGCATGTGCCTGCACAAGTCATTTAACTTCCCACTATTCTGGGCAACTTTGTAAGTTACAGAGAAAATACTCATCGGAATTAATTAGAGGAAATGTCCTCACCCAGTACCACTGAAATCCCAGGACCAATCCCTGTCCTGTATGGAGTACATTTAGTTATGAGTTGGAAAGAGAATGAGTTGATGATACAATAGAGTGGGAGAACCTGGTTCCCTGTGTAACCTTGGGCAAATCACTTTCCCTTCTGTGGGTCTGAGTTTCCTCTTCTGTATAATTTGTGTTCAGTTATATCCAAATCCCTTCCAGCTCTGGAGTTGTGATCCTAGGAAGCCTCTGAGGTCCTTCCAACCCTGAGATTCTTTGCTTCAGGGAAGGGGAGTAATGAGAGAAAGTCAGGAAAACAGTTTTGGAAAGAAGTTTCTCCATTGCAAGAAGAAGACACACAGACCCCCTATTGCTGGACTTGTGTTACTAAAAATTGTCCTTAATAAGCTCATTGTAGGATGCAGTCCCTCCCTAAGGTGTTAGCTTTCTCAGCCACAGACAGGGCAGATAAATGTTTATTTCCCAACCTGGTTAGAATGAAGGCTTTATGGAAATGAAAATGAAGACACCTAAAATAAAACCTTTTGAGTCAACGTTCAGAAGCCAGACCAAATGTCTCAGGCGGTTTTCTTCCTTTTCTCCTTGGCATCTTTCCCCTGACCCTGACAGCAGTCTCAGGCAAGAAAGCCAGCTACAACCAGGTTGTGGCAGCTTCTGCCAATGCTTGGCACCAGGAGCTAGCACTCAGAGCAGTGCCTCACTTCACTCTCTCAAAACTAACTTGAGATGAGGAAAGTACTTAAAATCCAGCTATGGCACTGGGGTTCAGCTCTAGCAACCTGGCTGCCCCCACCCATGCTCCACCCGCAGGCTAGAGGAGGAGGGGGAGAAGAGTAATGGAAAACAAAAAAGGGAAATCTTTTCTAATTCTGTATTCCAAACTCACATCTTCCTGTTTTCTAAGGCAAAAAACGTTAAGGGGTTTGATTAGGATTTTAGAATCGCCATCTTCTTTAAAAGAAATTCCCCTAAGGATATGAGAAGCAATGTAAAGTGGCGGATAGAGTGTTGGATTTAGAGTCTAGAAGGCCAAGTTCAAATCTGGCCTCAGACATCTACAATCTGTGATCCTGGACAAGTCACTTAAACTCTCTGTGCCTCAGTTTCTTCATCTGTAAAATAAGGATAATAATAGCACTTACCTCCCAAGGTTGTTGTGAGGATAATATTTTTAAAGCACTTTATAGACTTTATTATTATTGTGTGGCCCTGGGCAAGTCACTTGTCCTCTTTTGGCATGTTTCTCATCTATAAAATGAAGGGGTTAAATTGGATGCCCTCTAAGGTCCCTTCCAGCTCTAAATCTGCCATCCAGGTATGCTACAGCTATGTGGGAACAGGAATTATAGTAGAAAAACCCCTAGATGAGGAGCTGGGAGTTCTGAGTTCGAGTCCTAGCCATGACACTGACTCCCTTGTGTGACTTTAAGGCAAGTCATTTCTGTGCTCTGGGTCTCAGTTCCTCCTATAAAAAATTAGAGGAGTTGGATCTGATGATTGATAAGGTCTCTCCCAGGTCATACTATGAATCTATTAAGATCTCACTGAGCATTCTCTGTGATGGCCATTCCCTCTCCGCCTGCCGGCCCCTTCCCCCTCCCCACCTTGCCACACACAGCATCTTTCCTCTCCTATTACATTGTAAGCTTCTTGAGAGCAAGGTTTGTGTTTTGCCTCTCTTTGTATCTCTGGTACCAAGAAGAAATTTCAGAAGTATTTATTGAATTGAATAGATGGAGAACATTATAGGCAGGCATGTTGTTGTTGTTCAGTTGTTTCAATCATGTCCTTACTCTTTGTGACCCATTTGGGGTTTTCTTGGCAGAGATACTGGAGTGGTTTGCCTTCTCCAGCTCATTTTACACATGAGGAAACTAAGGCAAACAGGGTTAAGTGACTTGCCTGGGGTCACACAGCTAGTGTCTGAGGTTGGATTTGAACCCAGGTCTTCCTAACTCCAAGCCCAGTGCTCTATCCATTTGGCCGCCTACCTGCCCAAGTATTTATTGACTTTAATTGATCATATGGAGAACATTATAGGCACCCAACAAGCATTTATTAGGCTCCTACTATGTGTCTGGCATTGTGCTGAGCTCTGGAAGCACAAAGAAAGGCAAATGACAGTCCTAGCCCTCAAAGAGTTCGCAGTCTAATGGGAGAGACAACATGCAAATAACTATGTATAAGCAAATTATGTACAGGAAAAAGTAGAGATAATCAAGACAGGGAAGGCACCAGAATTAAGAAGAACTGGGGGCAAAGAGGGGTGGTCAATTCTACCTTCTTGTAGAAAGTGGAATTTTAATTAGGACTTAAAGGAAGTCAGGGAAAGAAAGCAGAGAAGAGAAAAGAGATCATAAAATCTTCAGAAGAAAACCATCAGGGCGTAGTAGGAGGAGCACAGAATTTGGGGTCAGAGGACATGGGTTCAAATCCTGACTCTACTACTTTCTCACCTATGTAAGCTTTAGTATCGATAAGCCTCAGTTTCCTCCTCTATAAAAGAGAGTTGGGCTAGAAAGGCCAGAGGGCAGAATGAAAATAGCACTGACTCTGGAGTGTGAGGACCTGGGTTCTCTCTGATGCTTCCACCTTGTGTGACCTTGGGCAAATCACAAACTCCCAGGATCTCAGTTTACCTCTTCTATAAAATTAGTAGGTTGGACTAAGTGCCTTTGAAGGTTCCTGTGATTAGTGAAGAAAAGGGTCGAGATTCTGTGGAGAGTCTGACAGGCTGAGCATACAAGGAATAAACTATAAGTTGAGGTCAAGTTCAAAGGAAAACATTTTCAGGTACTTGAGACCCTTGGCCACCCCCGCCCCCGCTGAGTTAACTGCTTTTCCATTTCTGCCATATTCTCATGCTGGTGAGTCTGAACTGTACTGCCCCTGATCTAGAGTGTTCCCTGATTATGGCTTGAAAAGCTAATGGCAACTGCCTAGGTTCTAGACCTTGCCTTAGCAAACCTGGCCCTATCTGTATTCTGGACCTTGGCTCAAGAAATTTGACCCTGACCACTTGTGTTCTAGACCTTGGCTTAGCCATTCTAGTCCTGACTGCCCACGTTCTCTTGGCTTAGCCATCCTAATTCTGATCTCCTGTATTCTAGGCCTTGGCTTAGCCATCCTGGTTTGGAAGACCTTGGCTTAGCTTCTGACCATCCCAGCTCTGTTTACCCATGTTCTGGATTTTGGCTTAGATAGTCTGATTCTGACCGCCCATGTTCTAAACCTTGGTTTCCCACTGACTCAGTTCCACTGGTGCTGCCTTTACACAACACACTGGTTTTGTCTCTTGACTATAGACAGTGTCTTGACTTCTTTCATTCCTACCATAATGGTTCACAAGGAAGGATTGGCATCCCTTCTGCTGTTGAGATAAATCTCTTCCATCTTCCAAGGGTCAGTAGAATAAATTCACTTGGCTAAAAATTTGGGCAACCATTTACACCAATTTATTGCCTCATAATGGTATATAATATGACATAGGGTCATATATTAGGGTTACAGGGGTCTTAGAGGCCATCTAGTCTAACCCCTTTATTTTGTAGATGAGGCAACAGAGATTCAGAGAGACAATATAATTTGCCTGAAATCATACAGTTGATTAATGACAGAGCCAGAATTTGTCTGTTTAAAAAGCTCCTCTGAGAGGAGGATTTAGTGTGATTTTTCAAAGCAGGGAGGTAGAATTACAACAAATACAATCTTTGAAAAAGCTTAGAAGGAAAAAAAGGTGGAGAAAAACTTTATTTCAGACTAAGATGAGGACTCAGAAGAACAGTATGTTGCATGTTGGTGCCAATGTCAAAAGCTCAGGAACAATTCCTCCCCTTTTTTCCCTCCTCTGTCTCCACTGGGCCCCTTCTTTCCTTCCTCTTCACCCAATCTCTCCACCTGTGTCCCTTCTCCTTTCCCTCTTCTCAACCCTACCAGAACCAGAAGGTCCCATGGGCAGGAGCCAGAGGGTCTGATCAAGTTCAGGGGAGTGGATGGAGGAGAACCCACAGCCATTGCTTTTTCTCCATTTCCTACTTCAGTGCGTTTAAACATTCTTTGCTCTTTGGCCCCCCTTCTCCTAGGTCAAGGCTTACTCCTTTAGAAGACCCTGAGTCATTTCAGGTCAGAATTACCCAAGACGAATGATTTTTCCCTTTGGCTGAGTGAAAGGAAATAAAGTTTCTTTGATGCCTGCTAAGTCACTTAACAAACTAATTTCTTCCCTGAATAGGAACTGGGTACAGCTTCAGCATGGGGCAGCTAGGTAGCTCAGTGGATAGAGTGTTGGGCCTGGAATCAGAAAGAACTGAGTTCAAATATAACCTCAGACTCTCACTAGCTGTGTGACCCTGGGCAAGTCGCTTAACCCCAACTGCCTTGCCAAAAAAAAAAAGAAAAAAAAAAAAAAGAAAGAAAGAAAATTAAAAACAAAGTATTGTGGGACGAAGGCTCTGTATTTAGATACCAAAAGGATACAGACTCAAATCATCCACCAAAATAAGTACGTTGAGGCTCAGAAAACCTGGGATAGTCAATGGGGGTCAAAATAAGCTATCAGCAGCTTTTTTCTGGGAGTGGAATTGTTTCTCAGTTTCCCACCGGTGGCCATCTGCCTAGAAGCTTGAAGTTCCCCTTCCCCCAAAAAAGCCATGCTATTTTATGGTCATAGAAGTGAGAGCAGGAAGAAACTTTGGAGACTGCATCAAGTACAGCCCCCTCATTCTACAGAGGAGGAAACTGAAGCTTAGAGGGGAAAAAGAACTTGTTCCAGGTCACACAGCCAAGCCTGTATTTGAACCCAAGTCCTCCTGACTCTCTAAGCAAGCAAAGGGTTTCATCCTTCGTCCTTCAACAAGCTAAGTGGGGGAAGTGCTGTGTGTTTAGTGGCATCCAACTTTTTGTGACTGCATTTGGGGTTTTCTTGACGGAGATACTGGAGTGGTTTGCCATTTCCTTCTCCAGCTCATTTCACAAATGAGTAAACTGTAACTACTTTATGTATAACTAATAAATGTCTGATAAGTCTTCCTGACTTCAGGCCCAGCACTCTACCCACTGTACCACCTAGCTGCCCTGGGGAAGGAAAGGAAATAAATATTTATTAAGCACCTACTGTGTGCCAAGTGCTGTGCGAAGAGTCTTACAGATATGATCTCATGTGATCCTTACAACATCACTAGGAAGTAGGTACAAATACGATCCCTGTTTTGCAGTTGAGAAAACTAAGGCATATAGAAGTTAAGTGACTTACCCAAGGTCACATTGATAGTAAGGACCTGAGGCTGGATTTCAACTCGAATCTTCTTAATCCCAAGCATAGCATTCTAATCACTGTGCCACCTATTTGCCTGGGTGGCATAATGTTAGTCTCAGAGTCTATAAGAGCTAGGTTTAAATCTAGCCTCAGACACTTACCAGTTATGTAACCCTGAGTTTCTCTGTACCTCAATTTCCTTATCTCTAGAATAAGAGGGTTCGACTTGATGGCCTCAAAGGTCCATTTCACCTCTGAATCATTTGTCTATCTGCCATACTGCATCCCCCATGAGCCCTGGAGTGGCACCACAGAGCCTCCTTTTGGTGCCCAGGAAAGATGAAATCTCTGTGCAATGCTGCCTTGCTATCTCAGCTTGAGCCTTCCCCTTTTCTCTAAAGTGCCTTCCATGCTATTTTTCATGTGCTCAGGGACAGTGTGTCTCCTATGAAGTGGGTTAAGTGTTGTGGCTTCTTGGAGAGTGAGATAATTTTCATCTAGAATAAAGTCAATCTCTTCATAATTCCAAAACACAGGTTTCACCCTTCATTGAACTAGGAACTAAATGCAAAGGGCTCCGACATGAGGAAACCATTCAGCGCCAGAAAAGGGCCCTGTCCCAACTACGGGAGCGAATCAAGGAACTCGAAAACACCCCTGGCCTAAGTAAGTTTCCCTGCATCTTCTCTGAGTCCTCCTGCCCTTGTTCTCAAGGCTCAAATACTTTTTCAGGGGAGCTGTGACCTCACCAACATCAGTGCCCCCTTCACTGGTGTTGATCACAGCCTATCCCTTGCTTTCCCATCCTATGCTATTCTTAGCCATGTTTTTTCATAAAGCCTCCAGTCAGTAGAATTCCTCTGGTTCTTTTAGTAGTCCTGCCATTCAAGGGTCCTGTTGGAATTAGGTCCTTCCTGCTGGCCCTGAAGGACCAAACTAGGAGCAGTGAATAGAAAAGCAGAGAAGGGGCAGCTAGGTGGTGCAATGGATAGAGCACCAGCCCTGCAGTCAGGAGGACCTGAGTTCAAATCCAGCCTCAGACACATAACACTTATGAGCTGTGTGATCCTGGGCAAGTCACTTAACCCCATTGCCCCCCCCCAAAAAAAAAAAAGTAGAGAGGCCAGTTTGGGCTTCATGTCAGGAAAAACTTCCTAGCAAAGAAAGCAATCCAGAAGTGAGATGTGTCTGGTTCCAAGAAGTAATAATAATAGTTAACAATGACATAGGTTTATGAAGTGCCTGAATATGAATATTTGTTATAAGGTTTGCCCTCCCTGAAGGTCTTTAAGCAAAGGCTGCATGCCCATTTGTCAAATATATTATAGCAGGGACATTTTAGTCCCTGCTGGGACCAGATGGTCATTGAAGTCTGAAGAGACTAAAGCCATTCTGAGTTTCTGTGATTCTGTTAATCCTCATTTCGTCACTTAACAAACCCATTTTCTTTTCTGATCATATGTTTTCCAGTCATACATATCTTTCATGATGTCTCCCATCACTCCTTGGGCACAAGGAAGTGATCTAGTGGCTAGAGCACTGACCTTGAAGTCAGGAAGACCTGTGTTTGAATCCCACCTCAGGTTCTTACAAGCTGGATGACCAAGGATATATCACTTCACTTTTCCAGGCCTCAGTTTCCTCATCTATAAAATGAAAGTCTTAGACTCAATGACCTCTAATACCCCTTCCAACGCTAAAACTTATGGTCTAATCCAACACAGGCAACAGGCTGTGGTCTAGTTAGGTGGCCTTTTTGAGTCATCTGCAATTTTGCTGTTTCTGAGTCACTTGTGTGACTATATTCAGAGGAACTATACTAACTCCTCCTCTTAAAGGACACTCATTCAGGTTGTTGTCTTAAAATACTGGGCTTTTATAATAAGAATGGGGTAGGATGAGAGTCAGAAAGCCAGACAATTTGAGTTCTAGGGCCATCTCCATTACCAGATGACCTGGTTAAGTGTCTCAGTTTTTCTCTAAGTAAAATGGGTGTTAGGGTGCCTCCTTCTCTTTCTGTTGCAGGAATGCTGTTGAGTGAGATGAGATAACCCATGTGAATTCCAGTCGAGTCAGTTGACAAGAGATGTGGCCCACGCCCCCACGGGTTTTACACACGCCTTCTAAAAAGTTCTACATTGTTTCAGAATTGGTGTGGTGGCAATGTCTAAAAGGTCTAATTCCTCATCTTAGTATGGAGGTGACTTTGGGCTCTTCTCTGAGGATCTGCTAATGGGGCACAGGTTCCCATGATGCTTTCCAAACTGGAGAGGCAAACATAACAGTAATTCAATTTAATTCAAGAAACATTTATTAAACTCCTAGTATGTGCCAGGCACTGGGAATACAAAAAGAAGTGAAAGAAAATCCTTGCCCTCAAGGAACCTGCAATCTAATGACAATGATCATAACAATGATGATGATGATGATGTTGATGATGATGGTGACAGCATTTTTATAGTACTCTTTTTTATAGTACTTTTACTATACTATAGTAAGATTTACAAATTTAATTTCCTGAATGGATTGGATGTCAGTCATCCAAAGGCCAGATTAATTAAATGCAGAGAAGCTCATGCCAGAAGGCTGGGGGCAGAGTAACAATCATTTCAGCCGCAGAAACTTGTGAAGACCCTTTACTGAGGTGCATTTCAATTCGTGTGTGATCTGTGTCAATAAGTTAATCAACAAGCATTTTTTTTTTTGGAGACTTAGTCTCCCTACCTTACTGTGACTAGAAAAGCAGTGATCGCTCACAGGCTCAATCCCAATCATCACGAAAGTTGCACTTGCTCCATTTTTCCAACTGAGGCCACTTCCCATCCTGCCCTTTCCCCTTTGGCAGCCTAGTCTCCCACTTCATCCGGGGCCATCACTAGTCATCTTGATTTTTGACTTGTCACTGGACTCCAATGACTGGAAGGAAGAGTGAAGCTGACAGCTTTGCACAGCCCTGCCTCACTTAAATCCAATTCACTCACGAGCCAAGACATCCCCTCATGATGTCATTGGTCCTTTTCCAGAACAAAGGACTGGCATCAACAACAACATCCCTCTGCTCCCAGAGATTTATCATATTAGTGCAACCACCCAATTGGCTTTAGGCCTACTGTGTGCCCCTCGGGACTCTAGAGCTCAATCAGTCTTCCCAGTCTACATCTCCCCAATAGCAGAGGACTATGGGTGTGAGCCTCCACACTAGCTCAATAGGCATATATGAAGCAGTCTGTCACTAAGAACCTGCTATGTGCCAGGTACTGGGGAAACAAAGACATAAATGAAACATTCTGTGTCCTCAAAGGGCTTACATTCCACCAGGGGAACATTTGTACATTGAGTAATATAAAGAGGATGCACAACATAGGTAGGTGAGTCCTCACACTGACAAAATCGTAGATCCCAAGACCATTAGAAGAATGTTATTTCAGAGTAAGCATAAGTGAGAAGCATCATGTGTGCTGGAATTGGAGTCAGAAGATTGGGGTTCAAATGCTGGCACTGCCTTTTATCACCTGTACAAGTTATCATCTTTGGGGCCTCCCTTTCTCCTCGTTATGTTAAGATGACTTCCTGGCTCTGTATGATGGCTATGATTCTTGGCCCAGGTCAGTAAGACAACTCGCCATCAATTCCATGATCTCAACCTGCTTATTTGTTGTCCAGCCATTTCGGTTGTGCCTGACTCTTTGTGACCCCATTTGGGGTTTTCTTGGCAAAGGTACTGGAGTGGCTTGCCATTTCCTTCTCCAGCTCATTCTACAGATGAGGAAACTGAGGCAAACAGGGTAAAGTGACTTGCCAGGGATCACACACCTAGTAAGTGTCTGCGGCCAGATTTGAACTCAAGTCTTCCTGACTCCAGGCCCAGAGCTCTGTCCCCTGCCCCACCTAGCTGCCCCCAATCTGCTTACATCTTCTCCCATAATTAAAAGGCTTGACACAGAAACAGAACAACCATTTATTGATAATTCTTAGTGGAATACCGCCAGGAATGGATTCCCTCTCTGGTCCCTTCCACCTCGGATGATTGTGTGAATGCTTTCAACCTTTCTAGAAGAAAATTCTTGAAGGACATGCATCTTCACACTGAGAATGTGTTCTGGAGCAGAGGAGAACAAAGGAAGAGTTGTTCTTTTCAGTAAATTAAGATCTTAAGTTAAGCTCTTGCCCTTGAATGTATTCTGTCTTTTCACAGATGCTGAAGACACAGTAACGGAACCACTTCCAGAATCCAAGAAGCCCAAATTGGGGGAAAATGCCAAAATGATGGAGAAGGAGCCAAATGTACTATCTCTGCCAAACATTGATCTCAGAATAGAAAGCAAACCAATTCACTCTTTGGTAGGCCCAGGAGTCATGGGGAACGGGAACCCAAAAGGAATCCATGAAACATAAATGAGGCCATGGGCCATGTGCCCTATGATCCTCTATGTTCCATGAGAACTGGAGGAGCGTGCAGAGTATTGGTTTTTGAGTCAATGGGCCTGGATATGAATCCCAGCTTTGCTACTTATTAGTTATGTGACCTTGAAAAAGTCCTTTCTCGTTGCCTCAATTTCTCCATCTCTAAAATGAGGAATTGGACTAGCTTATCACTAAGGGCACTTTTAGCATTAAAGCATGTCCTGTCTACCTCAATTATTAAAGGCACAAGTGACCAATTTTTAGGTCTTAGCTTAGGTGATGGCTAATGCCCAACAACAGATCTATTTCTCTGAGTAGCCTTGTAAGTACCTAGATGGCAGATACTGTGTGATTTTTATCTTTTTTTTCCCCTAGCACTTAGCAGAGTATCCTGACACACAGAAGCTTAGTAAATGCTCAGAGCTAAATTGAATTTTTTGACAACAGATTGAGGGTTCACACAATGTTCAGGAGGCAGCATAAATGAATTTAGGATAACAGGTTTCAAGCTGCAAAAGACCTTAGAGGTCAACTGGTCCAACTCTTTTATTTTGCAGAGGGCAAGTGACTCACCCAAGGCCACACAGGCAGAAAGTAATAGACCCAGGATTCTAGTATTATAGATTTGTGGCTAGAATGGGCCTCTGAGACCATTTAGTCCAACCCCCTCATGTTACAAATGAGGAAACTGAGGAAGTGATTTGCCCAAAAGTAGTAAGTGGCAGAGCAGAGATTCAAATTCATATGTTTCGGAATCTCTGATTCCAAATGCTCTGCACCACACTGAAAATATATTTGTTGTGAGTTGTGCCTCCACTGTAAGCAGCAAAAAGTCTTACCAAGAATTCCACAAAGCTGTTGGTGAACCAGAAAAATTTTTATTAACAGCCTAGCAAGGCTGGGTTGTCCCAGGTGTGGGCACACACATTGAAGACAGACATACAGCTTTTTATTCTCTATTCCTGATTTGAATTTCCCTCCCCTGTTTCCCCCTTTGCTGGGTACTACAGAGGTTACACCCCATCTAAAGTGCTTAATTTCCCTATTACAATCCCTGCCCCTGTTTACATCTCCCACTCCCCACAATTGGGTGACCCCATCCCTTAATTACTTTTGCTCTTATTGGGGCATACAAACACCTCTTTTGCTTGGTATGTGGATATGTTAATCTATACCTAACTTCAGAACTGGTTTTCGATGGTTAGTCTGTTCACCCACCAATAGCCTTTTTTCATTCTGCTCTATGGCTTCCTTTGTTCAACTTCCACCTAACCCTTAGATTTTATTCCTTAGGTTTCACCTGACTTTAATGGAAATGAAAAACTAGCTGTTTCTCGCACCACTGACATAGATTGCCTCCTTTTCTCCCCTACCCATACATTAATAGATGCTATTATCACACTTACGTGCCATCCTGGGCAAGTCACTTAAACCTCTGTTTGCCTCAGTTTTCTCATCTGTAAAGTGGGGATAACAGCACCTACCTCCCAGGATGTTGTGAGGATCAAATGAGATGATAATTGTAGAGTGCTGAGTTGCCATGGCTAAAAAATATTCCTCATCTAGAAGCTGACTCTCTAAACTTAAACCTACAAAGCCTTTGTCCACAGGTAAGTTTGTGGCCATCTAGGTAGTCCAGTGGTTAGAGTTCCAGGCCTGGAGTCAGGAAGATTTGAGTTCAAATCCTGCCTCAGACACTTACTAGCTGTGTGACCCTGGGTGACTCACTTCACCCTGCTTGCCTCAATTTCCTCATCTGTAAAATGAGCTGGAGAAGGAAATGGCAAACCACTCCAGTATCTTTGCCATGAAAACCCTGAATGAGGTCACAAATTGTCAAACGTGACTGGGGAAATTACTAAAACAACAATGTCTGTGGCCAGGGTGCCCATCAGGCCAAGACGACACTGTGAAAGAAGGGTGCCAGTGAAGCAGAATCTAAAAACACTAGAAAAAATGTCTCCTTTGGAAGTGGATGAGGTTTAGTTTGCCCAGAAAATCAGTCTAGTCAGTCCTGCAGCTGAAGGCGCACACACTCACCCACCACATGGGTGCGTGTTGGGGTTTCCGGTAACACTGGTTATTTAAGCAATGATGCTTCTAGCCTGTGTTTTTCATGGAATCCTAAGTGGGTATCTCCCTGAAGTTGCTGCTGGTGATGAGTTTGAGCCATGCAAATGTTGTTGGGGGGGTTTTTTTGGGGGGGTCTTGTTTTGTCTTAAATATTCAGGTTTTGACAACCGGGTTAGTTCCCCATCAAATGCATTCCCTAAGTGGCCACCAAAATTTTGGTATGACTCCCGGGTTGTAGGCAACCTCACTACAGAGCAAGGAGGCAAGAGGTGCCAATGAATGACAGCATGGAAATATTTTGCTAAGTGGCAGGACAGGGAGAGGTTATAAACATTTGTGCAACTCAATCACATGGTGTTAGGGTATGGGCCTTAGGCCTGGGTCAAAATCCCACCTCTGACACTTCCTAGCTGTGTGACCCTGGGCAAGCTCCTTAAGTATTATATGGTTCTGGGACCTGGATCTTTAGTGACAAGAGGGCTGGATTTGGAATCAGGGGTCCTGAGTTCAGATTCTGACCCTGCTGCTTACTGGCTATGGGATCTTGGGCTAGTCCCTTCTCTCTCTGGGTCTCCCTTTTCCTTCCTTTGTAAAATGAGGTTGGGCTAGCAGACCTCTGAGCTCCATTCCAACTCCAAATCGATGTGATCCTGTGACTCAGTGACCTATTAAGCCATAGCTAGGGTTGGGAATCTGTGGCGGTGAAGGGAGATCCCATACCAGGAGTTCCCTGAATCTACAACCCCTTCATGGATATTGATGTCTAAGTATGTACTGTCATATAATGGCTGTTATCTAAGAAGCGTCATCTTAGAGGGGAAAGTGCTACTTTGTAGCTCTATACCTGCAATTATGGAGCAAATCGTGGCATTGCTTGACACAATGTAACCCCTTAATAATAAACACTATTCGCTTCTAGCTTGGGTTTCCTTCTCCTGCCGCCCTCACTGCGTTGTTGGGAGAGGAAACTACATTGTAAATTATAAAGCCTTAGCGAGATCTGGGCTGGCTTTGTAACCTGCCGATTTACCTGGGTGATTTCTCCAAAGAGAAGGTCAAGAGAGATAATCTCTAAACCTTCTTCCAGCCTCACATCCTGGGATCCCAGGATTATATCAATGTAGCCACATCTGCCACACCATTTAATTCATGCCCATCATTTTCCTCCATTCGGTTTTGTAAGAGGTCTCGGAGGCTGATAATTTATGTAAAGAAACACGTGCTGGGTGTCAAACACCTCCCATAGTGAATCCTTAAACCCAGATTTTGTTTCCCGAAGATTTAGCAGGGTAATTTGTGGTCATTAGGATTATTGGATTAGTGCAGTTTTCCATTCGGTCAGCTTTGGTTATTTAACAGGGCAGATACCGGCTTGTTTAAAAAAAAAAATCCCTCGCTATGCCCCTGAGACAACCAATTTGTCTTGGGAAATTCTGAGAGTTTAAAGCTGAAAGAGACCAGGGAGATATACTATCTATGCAGTCCACCCCCTTTTTATAAAGGAGGAAACCGAGACCAGAGAAGAGAATGGTGCAATAGGAAAAGTGCTGGATACAGAATCAGAGGGCTTGAATTGGAGCGTGGCCCAGCTCCCTATTACATGGATAATCCACAGCAAGTCACTTTAACTTTTTAAGCCTCTCTATTCTTATCTGCAAAGTGGACAGGAGGCATTAAATGACCTCTGCAGAGCCATTCTAAAACTGTAATCCCATGAATAATAATAGCTAACATTTATGTTACACTTCAGGGCTTACAAAGCATTTATATATAGAAGTCAATCTCATTTGAGTCTCTTCACAGCCCTGTGAAGTAGGTGTTATTATCCCCATTTTACACTGAGGCAGAGAATTGGCCAGAGTCATAAAGCTGTTAAGTGTCCAAGGTGGGATTTGAATTCAGATCTTCCTGACTCCAGGTTCAGTACCCTATCTACCATGCTAAACTTGAGAGTGTCAGTCAGGATTCAAACCCAGGTCTTTGGGCTTCAGAGGCAAAACATATATAGCATGCTGTCAGATGGACAGCTGTGACCACAGGTGCACCCTAATTTTTATGACTTAGCTAAGCCCACTTGATGTTATTCTTTTGCCATGAAGAAGCATAAGACTGCATTTTGAGAAATGTTCTTTAAATTTGATTATATAAGAATGCATTATTTATATTTGAGAATATAAGAAAATAGGGAAATGGGACCAAGTTTCAATGTTTGGGAGACTTTCTGGTAACCCCACAGTTCCAAGCCCTTTGATTGTAGAAAATTCAAATTAAATACCAAGGTTTTTTTTAAAAATTCTTCTCATTTCAGCCCCCAAATTGCCTTCCCAGCCCATCTGCAGATAGGTCAACAAGAGTGGATTTGACTGAGACTCTAGACCTCAGTGAGAAGCTGGTATGTGGGGGGGGGAAGCATTAAACACTTACTAGAACTATGGACTGAATGGAGGATGTAGGACATCTTAACTTAAATTCCAAATTACTTAATTATTTGCCATGGAAGAAAATAAAAAGGGGGGGCTTAAATTGGACTCAGGAGATTTGGGTACAAATCCAGCTCTGCCATTTACTACCAGTTTGAGCTTGTACAAGTCACTTAAATTCTCTCTAAGCCTCAGTTTCCTAATCTATAATATGGGGTGATGAGAATACTTGTATTACTTACCTAAATAGGTTGTTGTGAGCTTCAAGTATGATCATGTATGTAAAGCATACAGGAATAAAGGAAGACCTAAATAAGAGATATATTCAGTGCTCTTGGATAGGCCTTGCCAACAGGATATTAATAAAATTAATCTACTAAATCAATTAAATTACCAAGGGGGTACTTTATAGAATTAGGCAAAACAATAACAAAATTCATTTGGGAAAGAAAAAAAGAGACCTAGAGTCTCAAGAGAAATATATACATATGTATGTATGCACATACATATTGATATATGTATGTATATGTGGATATAGATATAGATATTTGGATGGATAGATGAACTAAGGGGACATAGAATTATCCTGCCTCAACCTATATTGTTGAATAATTACCATTATAATCATTTGATACAGGCTGAACAATTTAAAAAAGTAGATTAATGAAGAGACCAGAAAAACAAAAATGCTTGTTTAACCTAAGAATATGGTTTACAGGGGGAAGAACTCCCTATTTGAAAAGAACTAGTGGGAAAACTGGAAAGTGTCTTGGCAGAAATTATGTTTAGATTGGTATTTTATACCATATAGCACAATAAGCTCCCAATGTTTACTTAACCTGCTTGTAAAAGGTCACATCACTGAAAAAAGGAAAATGGAGGCATGAAGAAGAAAGTACCTTTTTACAATGATAACTAAAGGAAGAATTCTTTACTAAAGAATGAATAGAAGTAATCATTGAAGACCAAGTAGACAATTTTGATTATGCAATAACAACAACAAAAATAACTGTTGTAGAAACAAAATCAATGCAGATGTAATAAGAAGAGAAACCATAGAGTGGAAAAAAGAATTGCCCCAACTATCAAGAGTAGAAAAGAATAGGGATTCCTTCAGTGTATGTTTTGGTGCACATGGCTGTTGAGATCCTTTCCAACTCTCAGATTCTGGGATCACTGATAAAAGCCTTCTACCCAAGACACAGAGGGAATCACCATGTATAAATAAACCATTCCCCCATAGATAAATAATCAAAAGATATGAATGTTGTCTTTCTTTCTTTCTTTCTTTCTTTCTTCCTTCCTTCCTTCCTTCCTTTCTTTTTTCTTTTTCTTTCTTTTTTCTTTTTCTTCCTTCCTTCCTTCCTTCCTTTCTTCCTTTCTTTCTTTCTTTCTTTCTTTCTTTCTTTCTTTCTTTCTTTCTTTCTTTCTTCCTTCCTTCCTTCCTTCCTTCCTTCCTTTCCTTCCTTCTTTCTTTCTTCTTTCTTTCTTTCTTTCTTTCTTTCTTCCTTCCTTCCTTCCTTCCTTTCTTTCTTTCTTTCTTTCTTTCTTCCTTTCTTTTTTAAAGAGGCAATCTGGGTTGAGTGGTTTCCCTGGAGTCACACAGCTAGTAAGTGTCTGAGTCCAGATTTGAACTCAGGTTTTTCTGACTCCAGGGCTGGCATTCCATCCACTGTTCCACCTAGCTGCCTCTGATATGAACAGTTTTTTTTTAAAAAAAATAGAGATTATCCATAAATATGTGAAAACATGTCCCAAATCACTAAATATAAGAGAGATGCAAGTTAAAACACACCTGAGGTTTCATCTGATGCTCAGAAAATTGGCAAAGATGAAAAAAAGACAGAAATGGTTGATGCTGAATGGAGCTATAGGAAAATAAGCCCAGTAATATTGTTTTGTTGGAGCTCTGAATTGAAAAGTTGTCCTGGAAAACAGCTAGAAAATATGAGAAAACTGACTAAACCAAGCATACTTTTTCACCCAATGATCCCACAGCCAGGCGTATATACCCAGCTAAAGAGATTAAAGATAGGAACAAAAGTTCAAAATGTGGCAAAGATGTCTATAGCAACCAATCAACAAGCATTTATTAAGCATCAACTCTTGCTAGACACTGTTCAGTCATTGTTTGATGCTGGGAATACATAGGGGAAAAAAAGAAAAAAAACCCTGCCATAAAGAAGCTTACATTTTCTCATGACTCTCCTTCCCCAACCCTTCTGAGCTGAGAACCTTGCTTCATATTTTGCCCAAAAAGTCTAGGCCATTTGCCATGAGCTACCTCTTCTTCCTTCCTCCTCCTCTCATATCATTCAGATGCCTTCTATCATTGTCTCCTCCTTCATTCTGTCGCACATGATGAGGTGACCCTTCTCCTTGCCCAGGCAAACCCCTCTGTCTGCACAAGTGACCCCATTCCATCTTGTCTCCTCCAGCAGCCTGCCCCCTCTATCATCCCCACTCCCTCACTTATCTTCAGCCTCTCCATATTTCCTAGCTGCTTCCCTACTGTCTACAAACTTATCCATGTCATCCCCCAAATCCTCAAAAAACCCTCTCTTGATCCATCCCTCCCCACTAGCTGTTGTCAATGGGATTTTACTGAGCCAGACTCTAACAGCAGGCCAGAAAAAAAGTGCCAGTAATCAGGTAGCTGTTTAATTAATTCGTTTAATTATGAGGAACAGATTGGCAAATTTGGAATTCTCATTGTCATTCCATATCTCTTTCGCCTTTTGCGGTTAAAGTCTCTGAGAAGGCTGTCTACAATAGGTACTTCCACTTTGGCTTCCTCTCCTCTCATTCTCTTTACTTTTTGCATCTAATCTGGCTTCCAGTCTCATCATTCAATTGAAACTACTATCGTCAAAGTTACCAATAATACCTTAATTGCCAAATCCAATGGCCTTTTCCCAATCATTTTTTTATACCTCTGCAATTTTTTTGTTTCTTTTTTAAATTTTATTAATTTATTAATTTTTAGTTTTCAACATTCACTTCCACAAGATTTTGAGTTCCAAATTTTCTTCCCATCTCATCCCTTCCCCAACCCCAAGACAGCATGCATTCTGAATGCACCTTCCCCTAATCTGCTCTCCCTTCTATCTCCCCTTCTCTTAACCCCTTCCCCTTCAATTTTCCTGTAGAGCAGGATAGATTTCTATACCTCATTTCCTGTATATCTTATTTCCCTGTTGCATGTAAAAACATTTTTTTAACATTTGTTTTTAAAACTTTGGGTTCCAAATTTTCTCCCATCCTCTCTCCCCACCCACCCTCATTGAGAAGGCAAGCAACTCGATACAGGTTATGCATGTTCTGCAACTTTTGACAACACTGTCCATCACCCTCTCCTCCTTGTTACCCTCTTTTCTACCTAGGTTTTGTGACATTGCTCTCTCCTGGTTCTGCTACCTGTCTGACCACTCCATCTGTGTCTCTTTTGCTAGATTACCCCAAGGCTCTGTCCTGGGGCTTCTTCTCTTCTCCCTCCATACTCCTTAGCTTGGGGATCTCCCATGGCTTCAATTATCATCTCTGTGCTGATGATTCTCAAATCTCAGACATATTTGTCCAACTCTAACCTCTTTTCTGACTTTCATTCTTATTTATCTAACTGTCTGTAACTGGATGCCCAGTAGACATCTGAAATTCAATGTGTCCAAAACTGAACTAATTATTTTTTCCCCCAAACCATCCTCTCTCCTGATTTCCTTATTACTGTCAAGGGTACCACCATCCTGTCACACACCCAGGATTGCAGAATGTCATCCTTGACTACTCACTGTCTTTCACCCCTCCCTTCATATCCAACCACTGGTAAAGTCCTAGAACTTTTACCTTTATGACATATCTAGCGCATGTCCCCTTCTCTAACTCTGATGCTGCAACCATCCTGGTTGCCACCATCTCCACCAAATCCATTATATCCACCATCTCCACCTCCATAACTCCCTCTGCTCCTGCCATCACCATAATCACCTCTTCCACCAAGTTTCCACCATGGTCAGAGTTTCCTCTACCACCCCCAAAGTTTCCTCCTTGACCCATAAAATTTGCTGAACTTCCTCCACTACCTCTTTGTGAGTCAGCAGTCTGCATCACTTGTTCCAAAAGGGCCTTTTTCACTTCACAGCTATGTCCATTTATAGTATGATATTTCTTTTTTTATTATTATTTTGGGGGGTTTGGGAGGGGGTTTTTTAGTATGTTATTCCTGAACAACAATTTTGTCATGTGGATTGTGATCATCAAAAGTCACAAAAGCAAATCCTCTCTTCTTTCCACTCTGTCGATCTTCCATGACTTCTATAGTTTCCATCTTGCCTTTCTTTTCAAAGTAGTCTCTTAAATTATAGTCTTCTGTATCTTCTTTAATAGCAGCAACAAAGACGTTCTTTATGGTTAGATGTGCACCAGGTTTTACAGAATCCTCTCTAGAAAAAGCCCTTTTGGTTCCACTACATACCCAATAGCCTTAAGTGGTGAGCACACATTGCTACATCCACCTCTTTTACATAAGAAGTCACAAAGCCAAAGCCTCTGGAATATTTTGTTTGGAGATCTTTCATCACCACCATGCATCTGTGAAGATTTCCCATTTTTCAAAGTGTTTTCTCCTAAACTGTCATCCATAGTTTCAAAACTCAAGCCACCAATAAACAGTTTTCTCAACTGCTCTGGTTCCTTTGGACTGTGACTGTTTTACTTCCGTTTTGAGACCAGATGCTGGGGCTCAATATGGGACCCTCCAGGTGCTTTCACTGGCTATGCCCCACCCCCACACCCCCATGCCTGGAATGCTTTCCTTCCTTATCTCCAATTCCTAGCTTACCCAGCTTCTTTTAAGTTTCCTCTGAAGTCCTACTTTCTGCAAGAACCCTTTCCTAGTCCTCCTTCATTTTAGTACCTTCCTTTTGAGATTTCCATCCTAATCTATTCCTGTATGTATCTTACTTAAACGTAATTG